GCGGCCTGAGTGACCTGCAGATCGGCATGTACGCGCTGCTGGGCGTCTTCTGCCTGGCCATCCTTGTCTTCCTCATCAACTGCGCCACCTTCGCCCTCAAGTACCGCCACAAGCAGCTGCCCCCCGAAGGCCAGGCCTCCGGGACCCACTCGCACGACTGGGTGTGGCTGGGGACCGAGGCCGAGCTCCTGGAGAGCGGTGGGGAGGGGTCCCCGCCGCCGGACGAGCACACGACCATCATAGACCGCGGCCCGGGGGCCTGCGAGGACAGCGGCCACCTCCTGCTCAACGGGGGCTCCCAGAAGCTCGTGCAGGGGCAGGCGCCCAGGCCCGCCGAGCCCGGGGTCAGGGACCAGAAGCGCGAGCCCCTGCCCTCGCCCACCTCCAGGAGGAAGAAGGTGAAGTTCACCACCTTCACCACCATCCCCCCCGATGACGGCCGCCCCATGGTGAACTCCATCCTCAGCGGCCACGAGGAGGACATCAAGTGGGTCTGCCCCGACCTGGACGTGGGCACCCCCCAGGAACTCAGAAACTATCTGGAGAAATTCAAGGACAAACCATAGGCCCCTAGGGCCAAAGGGCCTCGTGCCTGGGCCCCTGGTCACTCCCAGAGTAAACCTGGGCCCCCCGGGTGGTGATCGGGAGTCACGGGCGATTAACAGGGATGCACCAGGGCCCCTTATAGAGCCGTTGGACGTTTTGAAGCCGGGAAGGGACCTTTTTTGTAATGAAAGATTTTTTAGGGGTCAATGAGGGCAGGTCTCCGAAAGTCCGTGGGAGGAACTCTGGGAGAACGGCTGACGAGACGCTGACCGCGCCAGGCCAAATTAACACGGTCGTTTCGAGTCGAAGTATAACACAGTCGAGCTACCAAAAATGATTTGTTACAAAAATGCAAAAAGACAAATAAAAAGAGACAGAAATAACCATCTGTTTATATTTCTAATAAAGGAGCGTAATCTGAAATTAGGGCCCCCTAAGGGACAGCCCCGTGTTCATTCACTGTCCCCTCCTGCGAGGTCCGTCCACTTGGGCCCTGGATGACACGTGTCTGAACATCGTGGGTCACCTCTGGGGATGGACTGAGGATTTCTAAGTCTTTACTTGCTTGTCTCTTCTTGTCTTTTCCCACATTTCCTTTTCCTCTGTCTTTTTTCTTTTCATGTTTTAGATTTCTGTTTGATTTCTACTTAATGTTCATTTCTGAGGATCGAATGGCATGTTTTTCCTAAATTAAACATAAACCACAGTCCTAGTCACTTAATTAATTCTTTGCCAGTCAACTGTGTTTTTTTAACAGCCTAACCATGTAGCAGCACATTGGGAAATGCGCTCATCCAAAGCCACGTGTCTGTGGAAAGCCCGTGGCAGAGTGGACACGACACGGTGAGGCACTTGCTGCGTGTTGCCGGCTCCGTCCGTGGTGGCTGCTGCTTGGGCACTCGGCGGCCGGGGGGTGGTGTTCACGGGTCCCCAGGACGTGTCTGGGTTTTACTTTCATAATTACTAAAATCGGTAGCTAAGATGGTCCTTGGAGCCCCGTGACTTGAGCTAGACCTTTCAGAAAGATATTTCTAGCACATATAGATGGAAAGAGGAGCTATTTATTTATACCTGTGATGTCAATTGTCATTAAAATGCTTCTGTGGCTTGACACGTCTGTGTCTCGTGGGGTGTTTCTTGTTTCATTTGACGCCTGGTTTCTCTCCCTGACAAACGTACCACTTGCTGAGGAGATGGCTTGCCTNGTGTTTCTTGTTTCATTTGACGCCTGGTTTCTCTCCCTGACAAACGTACCACTTGCTGAGGAGATGGCCTGCCCGCTGGGCTAAAGGAAGCCATCACCTTTGCCGATCAACCTTTTTCTCCTTCTCGACAGATCAGAGTCATTCCTGACATGGAGACCCTTCCATCCCTTCCCCACGATCGTGGACATCGGTGGACTCGGGCCTGCTTGGGGTCACCGGGACAGCTGACAGAACACCTCTTGGTGAACCGGGGCCTGGGAACCTACAAATAAAAGGCCATAGAGAGAGGCCACAAGCATTTATTTGAGATTTTTTTAAAAAGAAAAGAAAAATGCACAGCTATTCGGGAAGCACTGATTTAGGCAGAAGCCCAAATAGTGTTTCAGTTGAGACAAAGGCGATGGGTATTGATGAGAAAGGGAAGGAAACAGCTACATCCCTAGAAGGAAGGCATTGCTGTGGGTGCAGATAAGGTGACATAGTGTCACTAACTCGAAACAATGTTTCCAATGTTCAGTCCTGGAGTCAGCAGTTTGGTAGCTACAGTATCTGCTTTCTTGTATCTTTGCTAACAGTTCTTTGGGAAACAATGTTGCTTAGGCCCTGTGCAAAGGTTACTTTGTCCTGTTTTAACATCCAAAGGTTTTAGGTGCCAGGTGGTTCCTCTGGGATGACAGCTCTGGCTGCATTTTGAAGTGGTCCCGTGTATATTATTTTTTACAGGACAGAAAGTGCATTTCTAACCAGTTCCAGGGTGTGTCTGACGCCGCGGATCTGCGATCCACACCTTGGGAACTCCCATCTCCATCGAAGGAAAGCCGTGACCTTGGGCGGAAACCTGTGTGAATCTCTCACCTGGGAAAAGATTTACTTTTATTTTTATTGCTTTTGTGTTTGTTGTTGCTCTTTGAGGTTTTGGTGGTACGGTTGTTGCCGTTGATTGGTTGGGGAAGTAGAATTTTGGATAGTAGAGAAGATGGTGGAATTTTTTTTTAAGAAAAAAACCAGCTTTATTGAGAAATAATCCACATACCGTAACAATGGACCCATGTAAAGTGTTTGATTCAGTGGTTGTTGGTATATTTACAGAGTTGGGCACCCTCATTACATCAATTTTAGAAAATTTTCACCATCCCCAAAAGAAACTCTATCCCTTTTAGACTCATTCCCCATTTCCCCCCAAATCCCCAAATCCCCAGCTCCGGGGAACCACCAACCCACTGTCTGTCTCTACAGCTTTGCCTAGAGGGCCTGGTGTCTATATCACATGGGAGACTCTCCTGAAAATCCCCACGTGGTCTTATAATCCCCATGGCATCATCAAGGAGCAATTCTTCTCATGAGAAGCTGACGGTGATCATTTATTGTGACCATTTTATTAATCATGGCACCGGGAGGTCCCTGCCCTCCCCCAGCAGGGCTACAGGAGACAGTGAGACAAACCGGCCTTCACGACCTTCTGTGCAAAACCATGTCCTCTCCTAAGTCTCGCCCCCTACCCGGCAAGCCCATATATTTCTTTACAAGGTTAAGGTTTCAAATAAGGGAAAGGAAAAGTAGGGTTGGATCTAAAGCTGGGGGCTTCGTTTCTGTCCTGAGTTAAACTATGAAAACGCCAGCTGCTGGCCTTGGGCAAATACGTCAGTGGCCCACCTGAGCACCTGAGCCACGTCGGCTCTGAGACCCGAGACCACGAGGACAGTCGAAGTCCTCCTGCCTCGGGCACTGTTGTCAGCGAGTGCTCCCTTCCGTTACTTGCTCAGACAGCCGTCTGGTGGAGGTGCATTAGCCCCACAGTATAGACGAGAAACCAGGCTCAGAGCATCCTTGTCAAGGTCACAGCTGGGAGGTTGCAGCGTCGGGACTCAGACCCACGCTGCGTCCCCAAAGACTGTGGTCTCGGTTATTACACTAATGCAAGCTCTTCGTCTGTTTTCCTGTGTTAAAAAAATGTAATGAAACCGACCAAAAAAAGGCAATTCAGGTTTATTGCACAAAATCTGAAAAATGAAGAAAAGGTAGAAGAAATAAAGTGGAAAAAAAAAAAGCCCTTGAGCTTCTCTTCCCGGAAATAAACATGAAGAACTAGCCTTATAGATCTTTCACTGTTTGTTTTTAATGGAGCACATGATTTTTTCATGGTTGTTTCATATTTTGAAAGGAGCCCATTAGAAATATGACTTTTAAATTATTTTTCCAATTTTAAAAGGAGCCCACGAGCACTGTAAAAAATTTATTAAAATGACCGAGTTCACCTCTGCGGGCGCCTTGGATCTGTCCTTACGGGGTTTTGCCCTCAGATTTCCTCTTCCTCCGTCGCCAAGACCAAAGCGCCCATATTGATTCTGAGGTGTAATTAACAGGGCAGTTTCCTTGATAAAAGATGACAGGGCGACCGCGGGTGCTGGGGTGACTGGGGGGGCGTCAGGAGCCCCCGCAGGGAGGGGAGGAGAGGGGAGGGGTTAAAATCCAGCCCGGTCTCTGCCCCTCGGGATTCGTCACCTGGAGCACAGCCACCCCTGGGTCACACGGCTCTCGGCAGGACCACGGTCTGCTTGCCCAGCGAGGCTCCCTGGGCTGCACCCTCCAACAGGAGGCTCCCACGGACAGGAGCATGGGAAGGTGCTGGGACAGGTGTCACGGGGACAGACTCCTGCGACTGGCCAGGGCCAGGGCCAGGGCCAGGCCTGTGACTGGGGATGGAGGACTCGCTCCCAGCAGAGTAGCTCTCCCAGCGATGCTGACATCCCAAGGGCATGAAGTGAGAGGCGGCAGCCTGGCGGCCGAGATCCTGGGCAACGATCCGGGTGGAGAGGGGACTGAGGGGAGCCCCCATTTGCCACCGTGCTCTCCCCGTGGAGCATCATCGGTGCTCACGCGGGGCTCAGAGACCGAGCCGCAAGCGGCGCCTGGAGCTTGCAGCAGGCTCGCTGGGCTGGACAGACAAAAATCACGTCCAGGACTATGAAGGCGGCAAGGACCCCGATGCGAATGGGGCGGCAGCTAAGCAGCGAAGCCGCACAGCCGAGCCAGAGGGACCGGAAGCTCAGCTGCGACGTGGGGGTCTCATAGGACTTTGGGGCTGCCCTGGGAGGTGTACACCTTCTGAAGTGACCACCACGAGACCGCTAGTGACATCCGTCACCATACAAAGTTACCGCAACACTATTGGCAAAGCTTAGTCAGTGGACACCACTCACTCCAGGCGCTTCTGGGCCCAGAGAGAGCAGCAGAGGGACCTGCCGACCGGCCTCACGGACGCCCCGCACCTCCAGGCCCGGAGCCCGGTGATACCCACTGGAGGCGATCTGAGGCCAGCGAACGGAAGCGGCCAGGGGCTGGGTCTCATTCAAACAGCCGGCCTCTAATTTGTGAGCCTCGTTAGCAGAGCCGGGTTGCCATGGAAACCCCTGAGCGCCCCGCGGCCAGTGCTCAGGTTCTCGGCACCCACGTGGTCCAGATTTTTATCGTATAGAAACAGTTGATCGTGGGCTCTAACTGCTCTGCAGCTGCGTTTCCGGTCCAAGGTGTCACTGCGTTTCTGGGGATCGAGGTCACGGCCCCCAGACGGTTCTCCTTTTCCGTCCGCTCCTGGGCCAAGGGAAAGGGCGGGTCCCCCGGCGGGTGCCCAGGAAAGGCTGCAGCCCCTGTGGGGTTTCTGCTCGGGAGGGAGGAGGGAGAATAAGCTGAGCTGGGTTTTTCCCCAGCGGGGAGGTTCCTGCGCTACCCCTGGGAACAGGCCTGGCTCCGTTCGCTCCCAAGTGCAGGCTGAGCGTCGGACACTTAAAATCCAGCCCCGTGAGAATCAGTAACTGAGTGGGGACGACTTCTCTCCTGACAGCGCAAACGCCGGTGAAAATACGGGTGGGCGGGACGCCTTTGGTTCCACGAGGTAAGAAATCCAACGCGAAACCGTTTAAGAAAAGGAAGGGGAGGGGTGGCTGGCTGAACGCAAAAGTGCGGCAGCTTCAGGTACAGCTGGATCCAGGCGCGCCTGCCAGGTCCTCGGGGACGGTCGGCTCTCTCTCCGGCCCTCAGTTCTGTGTTTCTCCGTGTTAACTACACGCCCGGGCAGGCAGGAAGGTGGTCACCCCGAGTGTCACACCGGCTTGTAACCCGTCAGCACCGCCCGTGAAAAGAACCACCCCTGCTGCTGACCATTCAAGCGAGGTCCTCGGGATCAATCCCTTTAGACCCTGCTGCCCCGGACTCTGGACAGTT